TTTTATTTTGTATGCATCCGTGGGGCAGAATGTGTTTGATTGCACGTGTGCACTATGTTATCCCCACCATCCATCGAACACCACACACAATTTAGAAAAACGAGGCTACCTCAATTTGGCAATTGTATGGCCAACCTATGCTTTCTTGGCTACCACAATAGGCAAACTTTATACTTCCTGCCAGCTCACAAGAATGAGAATGACAGGAAAGGAAGGAGAACAGCAGGGGGCAACTCCCTGCATCTTTAACCTTTTGCATGGAAGCTTCTACCCCAGTATTTCAGCTCTCTCTTTTACACTCTAACAAACAGATTTCTAAAGGGGGGGGGGGGAGAAGGACCTTGCTCAAAGAATGAGAACTGCAACAACTTAGGCCCATTTCTTTTCTTTTGCATGTGTGCTGAAATTTCCTGTATTAGATGATCCAACTCTTACGTGCATACTTTTGCCATTTATGTATTTTTAAGAAGTAACAGGAATCGGGTAAATGTGAAGGTCAGGGCACTGCTCAATGGTGTAGAACAGTCCAGAAGATGCAGGTTGATTAACTCCACATTTGCCTATGATGTGTTTGTGGATCAGCATGAATAAATGCTGACTTACTGAACAGAAAAGCAGCTTGTGAAGATTCACATTAAATGACTCATTCTACCAAGCCCCACTTTATACAGGTTTGGAGCTGCTTGAGTCTGTTGCATTTTGGACTCCCCAGCAATGCCCATAAGGTACGTTAAGAGTGACTCACAAACCGTGTCTGGACTAGAAAAAGGAACATGTGACAAATAATGAAGTCACAATTATAGCTTGGGAGCAGAACTTTAATGTGGAATTTTTTTTTTCTCTTGTGAAAGCAACCCTGACAGCTGGAAGAAGGATGTACTTTCTGGAGCATGTTGCATGTGGTTTAGCTTTCCAGCCAAATTCTACACCAGCTTAGTAGAAACCATGGATCTTTATTTTTCCCCTGAAGGGTTTCATATACTTTACCTTAATAACCATCTCCCAGGTAAGAAAGGCTAAGAGTTTGTGGAAAAGTGCATCTAGAAAGCTTTATATCTGATCACGGATTTGAACCTCTGTCCCTTTGTTCCAAATCCAACACTCTAGCCACTCTGTTATACAGGAAGTTTTTGGCAACACATTTCAGTGATGGGTCCTTCGCCTCTTTGAAACAAGAAATAGAATGCTAAATGCACTGGAAGCTATCTTATATCAAGTTGGATCATTGATACTTCTTGCCCAAACCATCCCCTCTAACTGATAGCAGTTCTCTCGAACCTCAAGGAGAGAAAAATCTTCAGCAATACCTGCTGTCTGAAATCACTGAGCTGGTGATTCCAAGGAATGAACTCTGGATCTTTTGCATGCCAGGCATGGGGGGTGCTACTGCTGAGCTGTTGCTGCTCAGACTGGACTATCCTGGCTAAGGGAAAGTGTGACAGGCAAGGATCTCATTTCCCCTTCCAGGTTCAAACATCCTTTGCCTTCATGTACAATTGAAGGACTCTTTCCTCCCTGCCAATTCAGGCCACATCAATCTTAGAACCAAACACCACACTGCACATACAGTATTCCCCCAAAGTGGGTGTCACAGTGCCACCACCTTAACTAGCTCCCACAAAATTGCAGTGACCATCTTTTTCCTAAACTCACAGTGCGGGTGGAGCAGATTTATTTATAAGCACCAGCCCCTAAAACCACCTGCGCAGAATATGTTTGTAGCTTAGCTCCGTGCTCCCCGAGAGACTTGGCTTTCTCCAAGAACCAAGAAGACACTGTTGCTATAGCAACCAATGGCAGTGGAGTCACCAAGGTGGATACTACCACTTACCAACAACCCATCCAATTTTCCAGTTCCATCGTGCAAATAACTAACAGCAGAGCTCACTAACACACCAATTTAGATTGCAAAAAAGCCAAAGGCCAAACTGTATGTCAAAAGTGGCATTTTGACAGCGAGAGCCCTGTAAATTTATCTGACAAACAGCAGCTCAGAACAGACCCTCAAGAGCTGCCGCTTTCCCTCTCGCTTTAATAGGCGGGGAGCTAATGCAGAATAGATCAAAACAGGAGACTGAGAAGGTGGCCAACATTCCCCCAGGCATGTACTTACATAGATTAATGCCTCCGTTCTTTAGATCTTTCATACTTCTAAGCTCACGCTGCAAAGCAATCCTTGGAGCCTCAGTTTCAAAATATCCCCTTGGTGACCGAAACGCCAAAGAGACAGCTTGCTTCATAGAAGTACGGTACTAATTACTTCACACCCTTGAATTCAGACCACTGTGTCTGCAATATTTCCAGATCTTAAGACACACAAATCCTACGCTGTCTACGTTTCTGTATCCCAGTCATGCAGCTCCATTGTCTGATCCTTCACAAAACTTAAAGCTGTAACCCTTTTCTTCAGAGGACTTGGCAAACACCTGAACCCCTGTTGGAAAGAGGGGCATCCCATTCTGTAAGACAAACACCAAACAGTACAGCCAAGTTCCAAACACACAACACCACCATTCTGCAAGCTGTGTACTCTATTGCCTATGTAGACACAAAAGATATCTACCTGAGGCCTGCATCTGGCTAGCATCTTGGACTGGCTCCCTCCGCTAGGGACAAGAAGAAGTCAAACACAACTTGCCTCATTCAGCAAGTACCTTTGTTCCTGGCTATGGTAATAAAGGTGTGGTGAATAATCACCATGATATGTATCTCAGAAGGGAGCTGCTGCAGGTGGAAACAGAATACACACAGCATGGGTTTCAGGGTCGAAATGCAGAATGGCAACCATGGGGAGCAAGCAGCATAGAAAAACAGCCATGCCAACGTATCATTGACTCAGCAAATTTTACACTGCAGCCATATTGAGAAAAATATAAATCGGGGGTCCCCAACATGGTGCCTGTGGGCACCCTGGCAACTGCCAACCCCTTGTCTGGTGCCTGCCAAGTGTTTTTACAAAATGGGTGAAGCTGGGTAGGGTTGGCAACTCAAAAGGGTCCCCTCATGGCCCACAGGCAATCAGGTCGCCTACAGGAACCCGCCAAAGTAACGGGCGACATTTCCCAGGAGAAATACTGCACCGGGCACCCAAGGTCATATAGCACAGCAGACAGATAAAAAAACAGCAGACAGATAATAAAAAACAAAAGGAACAGCAGAAACGAAAGTCATCATCTCATCTCCATGACAGCCAGGCAAGAGGCCGAGCTGACAACAGCTCCTGGAGATTTGAAGGGCTCTGCAGCGCGAGGATCTTTGCTGTGGGACTGGAGTTAAGCAGCAGCAATCATTTTGTGGCTGGCTCCGCCTCCTGAGGCAGCCATTCCGTGGCTTCTTTGTGTTGTTGCGCCCACCACACCGTGTCAGAATTGCCAAGGTGTCCACAAATTCAAAAATGTTGGGGACCTCCAGTATAAACCTTAGCTAACTCCACAATAAAACTAACTTTGGGAGTTCAAAGGTGTGTGTGGGGGGATGTTTTTTTTCTATAGCCGCCAAGCCATACAGCAAAGGCCTTTTGAAACCTCACTCAGATACAAGATATTAAGTAAAGACAACAGACAAAAGCATATCTTAAGGATGCTTTTTACTGGTGGTGGTGGGAATATCCAAGCATGCAACTAGAAGACATACTGCCATCTAGAGGAGAAGCCTTTAATTCACATGCTGGGTTTCAGATCAATCTCTGATTTTCTAAAAACTTACCCTCCCCTCCCTTTACATACTTCTATAGCGTTCCTTTCTCCCACGCATACAGAAGCTACTGTGCGGATTTAAATATAAGTGACATATGCTATTGTGATGACTCAACTACGCAAGTTATTTGGCGCCAAAGATCCTCCAGCCTCATCATATTGAACCTCTCTAGGGCTTAGATTAAAAGTCTGAGCCTCCCTAAATGCAAGACAGAGGTTGCCCAACGGTGCTTATCCACAGTTTAAAGACAAGATTAAAGAGGAAACAGGGTAATGCCTGGAGGAAGCAAGCAGCTCAAATTGGTTGACAAAAACCCTGAAAGTCTGAAACAGCCTCCTGCAATGTCCAAAGAAGAAAGGGCCCTCTGTCAACCAAGACAGGGTCAGGGAGGTGAGTGTATGTTTTCCCCAATGCCCAGAGGAAAGGAGCACAGGGCAGGGAAGAACAGAATATTTGGGATGGGACACCCACACCAGGATAAGGATTGAAGCATACTGGCTGGAGAAAAAGAAATGTATTTCCATTCATGTGGGTTTTAATGTAACAAGGTAACCTCACAGTTGAAAGCAGATTAACTATTTTTTTTAACCTAGCAAGCACCACCACAAAAAAGGAGATTGGTATGCTTAAGATGAAACATGGCAATTCTAGTACTCTCTAGATCAGCATCATGCTTTGTGCCTCATTATGGAAACGCAGCAGTGGTCTTGCAGTTTTATACCATGAATTGTTTTAGCATACCACAACTTTTAAAAAGCTTTAGAACATCACAGCAAGGTATTTTAATTTAAATGACCACGACCATTCAGACCAGGAAATACTTCTAACAGACCCTGGGATACCAAACCCAACACCCCCTGTATCTAACTTGGAAGGCAATAAACATGAACAGCTGCCATTCATGTAAGGGAAAGTTAAAGAGAAGCATTTGGGGCTGACGCTGAAGGACAGGCAAAAACCTCTGGCCACCTGATGCTGAGGGATTCTGCAGACACAAAGACTGACACTGGAGGATTGATGGCAGCCCTCCACCCAAAGGCAGCTCCAATGTTATGGGAAAAGGTACAGTCCCACCTCTTCCAAACAAATGTGCACGTTTGCTTCAAATTGTACAAATTATTTTGCTTTCCTCGGCACAATCCGCAGAAGAACTTTGATTTCAGTACAGATCGCACAGAGCACTCCTCCATCCCACTCCAACCCACAGTCAGTCAGGTCCACCCTTCTGAGTAGGTTACTTCTTCCAAACAGGAACAAGCACAAGGTTTAAAAATCTGTGCTTCTTCCCCATACCTGCTACTCACCCTGATCGATAGAATGCTGAGGAAGCTGGCTAAGTTGGCTATTCACTACCCCTGCGTACGTCCGCAGAAATTCCTCTTCGCTGGCAGTTAACTGCAAAAAGAGAGAAAAAAGTAAATTCATGGGGTTAGAAGAACACAAGTTCAGCTGCAGGATTCCTATCAAGTAACAATTCAGATGCCGTTACAGTTCCATTTAGTTGCTTTTACTCCTACTTATATTAGTTCTTAGCCCTAAGGATACACAGTCAGGGAGACTATAATCCCAAACTGCTTCACTTTAAAAAAAATTAATGAAACACACACCACTGGAAGCCAAGAAATGCAACATAATTTATACACTGTTCATGGTTTAATGTGGCACAGCAATAAACTGAATTCCATTACGGCCAATAACTAGAGATTCTTATCTGCCCAAAGTCAAAAAGAAAACACTCCCAAGTAGATTACACAAATATTCTTATATTCAAGTAAAGGATTAAAGCACATCCTCCTGAATTACCTTGCTTCTCAAGACATAATGACAAATTTTCACATACAGTTTTGTATTTCAAAACAAACCCGGCAGGAGAGAAGTTATGAACCTAAGGCTCAAGATTATCTATGAATTGCCCTGACCGGGATAGCCCATACAAGCCCTATCTCGTCAGATCTTGGAAGTTAAGCAGGGTTGACCCTGGCAAGTTCTTGGAAGGGAGACCTCCAAGGAATACCAGGGTTGGGACTAATGCTCCCTCTAAGCTGTGGAGTCCTGTGAGCAAAAATTCTACTTTGTGAGCTACTGGCATTGTGAACGAGCGGGCTACTGCATGAATTAGTTCACTCTGCAGCCATTCTTCCTGAGCTAAGACAAAAATGAGTGATCCAGAGGCTTAAAAACTGTGAGCTAGCTCACACTAACTCAGTTTAGAGGGAATCCTAGAATGCAGAGGCAGGTAATTTCAAGCCACCTCTCTGAAACGTTCTAGGCCCACTAGGGGTTGCCAGAAGTCGCCATGACTTCCAGGCTCACAAGAACACAAATACTCTTACAAAATAATAATAATAATAATAATAATAATGCAGAGGCAGGTAATTTCAAGCCACCTCTCTGAAACGTTCTAGGCCCACTAGGGGTTGCCAGAAGTCGCCATGACTTCCAGGCTCACAAGAACACAAATACTCTTACAAAATAATAATAATAATAATAATAATAA